TTTTTTTTTTTTTTTTTGATACGGAGTCTTGCTCTGTCGCCAGGCTGGAGTGCAGTGGCACAATCTCAGCTCACTGCAGCCTCTCTCCCAGGTTCAAGCAGTTCCCCTGTCTCAGCCTCCCAAGTAGCTGGGACTACAAATGTGCGTCACCACACCCAGCTAATTTTTTTATTTTAGTAGAGGCAGGGTTTCACCATGTGGACAGGATGGTCTCAGTCTCCTGACCTTGTGATCCACCCGCCTCGGCCTCCCAAAGTGCTGGGATTGTAGGTGTGAGCCACCCTGCCAGGCTGTCTTTCTTAATTGACTACACAGATGTTAGATATTTAATCCCTTCTAGCTGTTCTTTTCCTCCCTTGTTAGCTGAGTAAGCTATCTGAATATAGGCAATGAGAAATGAACATGCAAATTATATACTTTGAGGTCAGTTAGCTCAGTATGATATCACATTCACATTTTTTTACTTTCCCCTTTCCCCCTTGTGATTATTAAAGTAATATTAATGTAGAACACTTAGAAAATATCAAAAAGTGTGAAAAAATTGCTCCTGTTCTTCCAATTTTAGTGTAACTGTAGGCATGGACATATTTTCCTTCTGGTCTTCAATTTTTTTTAATCCAGTTTTACGTTTAATTTTTCAGAAGCAATATGAACTACCTTTTTTTTTTTTTTTTGATGTATAGGAAGCTCTAGACATTCATGCAGTTGATGGGACAACAGAAGAATCTTCTAGTCTTCAGGCATCAACCACAAATGACTCAGGTATTATAAAATAGTATAAAATGAGTTGTATTTGTGGTTTGGGCTCCAGTAATGAAACATTCAGCATTCGTTTGTAGTGTACAGTAGCTTATTTTATTACTATTTATTTTGGGAGTAGGTTACAGAGCAAGAATTTCCCAGTTGGAAAAGGAGTTGATAGAAGATTTGAAGTCTTTGCGGCACAAGCAGGTGATACATCCTGGTCTTCAAGAAGGTAATAGACTGGCAACTTTTTTTTTGGTTTTCTTTTTTCTTTCTTCCCTGTTTCTCCTCTTTTTCCTCTCTCCTCTTCTTTTTGTTTTTTTCCTCTTTCTTTCTATCCTTGATTTCATTTCTTTCAGCACCTCTTTCAGTTTGCATATTTTTCTCTTCTCTGTCTCCATAATTCTTCCCTTTAGTTTAAAAACCATGTCTAGGTCTTTTTTATCCTATTATCTTATGTAAGAAAAAAATGTGTCATGGTGAAGCAAGTGATATTTTCTTTGTTCATTCTTACAACCTGGTATTTTCCTCCCGCATTTCTCATCTTAGTTTGGTTACTTTTGTTTATGTGGTTGTTTGTTTATTTGAGACGGAGTCTCACTCTGTTGCCCAGGCAGCTGGAGTGCAGTGGTGCTATCTTGGCTCACTTCAAGCTCCACCTCCTGGGTTCACACCATTCTCCTGCCTCAGCCTCTTGAGTAGCTGGGACCATAGGCGCCCGCCACCGCGCCTGGCTAATTTTTTTGTATTTTTAGTAGAGACGGGGTTTCACCATGTTAGCCAGGATGGTCTCCATCTCCTGACCTTGTGATCCACCCGCCTCAGTCTCCCAATTACGTGCTTGTTTTTATAATTTTGGAGGAAGGGTCTTCCTTGTCCTTTAGTAATATATTTAGGTGTATAAATAGAAGAATACTTTTCTCTCTCATGTTTTGGCTGCAAACATCTATTTTATATATTCGATGTACCAGTGGGAAGTTAATTTAAAATTTTCATTATCTTTTTTTTTTTTTTCTTCAAATTTTAAGTTCTGGGATACATGTGCAGAATGTGCAGGTTACATAGTTATACATGTGCTATGGTGGTTTGCTGTACCTATCAACCTGTTATCTAGGTTTTAAGCCCCACATGCATTAGGTATTTGTCCTAATGCTCTCCCTCCCCTTGCCTCCCACCCCCGACAGGCTCTGGTGTGTGATATTCCCCTGCTTGCATCCATGTGTTCTCATTGTTCATCTCCCACTTATGAGTGAAAACATGCAGTGTTTAGTTTTCTGTTCCTATGTTAGTTTGCTGAGAATGATGGCGTCCAGCTTCATCCATGTCCCTGCAAAGGACATGAACTCATTCTTTTTTATGGCTGCAGTTTTCATTATTATCTTTATTTTATTGTAATGCGTTATCTTGGCCTTGAATATGTTGCTTAATCTTTAAAAAAACATATCTACTATGGTTATTAACATCATGATCACTACTGATTTTCCTGTTTTGGGATGTAATGAAAAATGTTAGGCTGTGCCCCAATTTTTAGTTTCTTACAAATATCTTTGATTTTAGATACACATCCTGGAGTAGTTTTTTGAGTTTTTGACTCTTAACAATTTTCAGAAGAGTGTCTAGACTATTTACACTAATTAGTAGTTTATTTACCTGAGAATCTAAACATTACAAGTTATCAAACAAAAGATTTATATGCTGGTCATTCAGTTTCTAAATCGAATGGTAATACTTGAAGAATTTTTGCTTTAACGGAAGGCAGCTTGTGTGACAGTGCGATCTTAAAGTGTGCAGATCCCAGTCTCAATCAATCAATATGGTCTGATTGCTGTGGATTGTAATGGACAGTCACATCATAGCAATCTTGCAGATAACGTTTGCTGCTGTTTATTGTCAGCTTTAACGTCTACTATTTTATTTAAATAATATTCTCTTATTTCTCCCTATCTTTTTTCTCCCCTTCCTTCATTTCTTCCTATCTTTAACTTAACCTGTCTTCTCCCTTTCCCACTTCCTTTTTTTTTGTTATTTTCTTGATAATATAAAAATATTATGACATTTATATTGTGTTCTTTTAACTTAATCCCCACGTTTAAAAAACCTTAGTTCTAGAGTTAAATATATTCAGTGCTTGCAGCTGGTCCTTTTGCTCTGGTTTATTTGCCTAGTATTTGCTGGTTGGCAAAGCTTTGACTGTTTTTCTTTCTTTTATAGACAACTTAGTCAAATTTGTAATCTTTTCCTTAATGGAATGGGGTGTTCAAAGGCCAATGTTTATGGAAACTGACTAGGTACCATATATAGTGAAATTAGCCTGAATTTGGGGGGTAGAGTTGGACTCTGGTGGGGTAGAGTACAGGCACTTCTTCGAAAGGGACAACTGCATCAGTGGATTCTTGTCATATGGAAAAATGGGCCCAAAATTCTCAGGTCTTCCTATAGTTCAGTAGAAGCTGGAGTGGCTATGTGATGTCTCTGAAGTGGTGGCCGCTAATAGTTTTTTGGGCACCTAACTCAAAACTTTAAAAACACAGCCAAACGAAACATATCTGTGAGCTATTATTTTTCACCTTCTTTATAGATTCTGCATTTGGTGCAAGTTTGTATTTAATCCTAAGGTTGTTAAAATTTATTCAACTACATGCTGACATAGTTTTGTTTTTTTAAAAATAATTAAATCTGTAATCTCTCTGGTACTTAATTTTCAATGTGTGAGGTGGAGTCCTGTTTTGGATTTTTTTTATTCCTCTATTTTATTTTGGCATATTTTTCTCCCCAACCTTGACTTCCTTTAAAAGGCCATACTTGAGCCAGGCTCGGTGGCTTGGGCCTGTAATTCCAGCACTTTGAGAGGCTAAGGTGGGTGGATCACTTGAGGTCAGGAGTTCGAGACTAGCCTGGCCACCCTGTCTCTACGAAAAATACAAAAAATTAGCCGGGTGTGGTGGTGAGCGCCTGCAATCCCAGCTACTCAGGAGGTTGAGGCAGGAGAATAGCTTGAATCCAGGAGGTGGAGGTTGTAGTGAGCTGAGATCCTGCCACTGCACTCCAGCCTGGGTGACACAGGGAGACATTGTCTTTAAAAAAAAAAAAAAAAGCTAGACTTAAACAGTTTCTAAAGAATAAGTTAATTTGGCCAAATATTTGTAGTAACTGGGTGATGCCAATCCCAGGGCTCTGAAGATAAAGTATTCTAGGTTCATCTCTAAAATTTGATTCTTGAAATAATTTGTTAAATTTCAACTTAATGTCATATTTCTTTGCCCTGCTATTAACTATAATTTCATTATTTAGAAAATAGCACTTAAACTTCTTTTGAGCTGAAAACCCTTGAAAAACTAGAAAATCTTTTTGAGTTTGCTTTAAAATTGGGAAAGCAGTGTTGATTAAGCCTGGGAAAATGTTTTTATTGTTGTCGGTAGTTTTACTTAAAAATAAAATAAGGTTCTTAATTTTTCTTTCCATGGTACTATATTTTTGTTTGCTATACTAAATTTACTATATCTATGTTGGTCTGCTTTTTAAGTCTGTTAGCTTATCTGAAATTATCTTCTGTCTTTGCATTTTAAAAGTGTGTTCAAAGCATTTCTCCTTCATTGCTACCAAGTCAATTATTGTCAGTTTTTAAAACTTTATATTTTAGAAGAGTTTTAGATTTATAGAAAAATTAAGAACACAGTACAGAGAATTCCGGTTTTTTTTCTTTTTACTCATTCCTAATTCTCTCAGTATCCAGAATTTCTCCTATTAATATCTAACATTAGATTGGTACATTTGTTACAGTTAGTGAACCAGTACGGATGTATTATTATTTAAAGTTCATACTTTATTGAGATTTCTTTAGTTTTTACCCAATGTCCTTTGTTTTTTTGCATCTAAGATCCCATTCAGGATACCACAGTACTTTTAGTAGTGATGTCTCCTTAGGATCTTCCTGGTTATGACAGTTTCTCAGATTTTGTGTTTAATGACCTTGACAGTTTTGAAGAGTCAGGTATTTTTATAGATGTCCCTCAGTTGAGACTTATCCTGTCATATCAAGAGTACATACATTAAGCATGATTTATCACTATTGATGTTACCTTGATCACCTGGCTGAGATATTGTCAGTTTATTCACTGTGAAGTTACTCCCGACTCCCTGCCCTCCGTTTCTCTCCATACTGTACTCTTTGGAAGGAAATCATTATGCTTAGCTCACACTTAATGTGCAAGAAGTTACATTGTACCTCCTTGAGTGTAGCCTATCTATGTAAGTTATTTGGAGTTATTTTTCACCAGAGATTTATCTAGTCTTCTTTTTAAAAAATTCCCTTAGGTGAATCTCCAGCTCTACTAAAAATACAAAATTAGCTGGGTTTGGTGGCATGTGCCTGTAATCCCAGTTACTTGGGAGGCTGAGACAGGAGAATTGCTTTAAACTGGGAGACGGAGGTTGCAGTGAGTAGAGATTCTGCCACTGTACTCCAGCCTGGGCAACAGAGCGAGAGACTCTGTCTCGGGAAAAAAAAAAAAAGAAAGAAATTCACTCATCAGTATGGACTCTTGTCAGTTTTAATGTTTTGTTTCGATGTTTGTTTTTTGTTTTTGAGACAGGGCCTCACTTTGTCACCCAACCTAGGCTGTAGTGCAGTGGCATGAACATGGCTCACTGCAGCCTCGACCTCCTGAGCCCCAGTGATCCCATGTCAGCCTCCCAAGTAGCCGGGACTACAAGCACATGCCACCACACCTGGCTAATTTTTTTTTGTATTTTTTTTTCTGTAGAGATGGGGTTTTGCCATGTTGCCCAGGCTG